AGCCTGGCGGCTGCTACGGCAGGAGTTCGATCCCCGCATCATTTCATACGGGTGTCAGCAACCATGAGGGCTGATTTGGGCGTGTGGGATGCCTTCCTGCAGGAGTCCAACGGGACGGTGTTTTTTCAGGCGGGCGGGTAAGTCGGCGGCGGAGTTGGAGCTCTTCACGGATGCTTCGGGTAGTGTGGGCTTCGGGGCCTACTTTGGCGGGAGATGGTGCGCGGAGCAGTGGCCGGAGGCATGGGGGTCTAGCCCAGTCATGCGCAACCTGGCTTTTCTGGAATTATTCCCGTTGGTCGTTGCAATGGCACTATGGGGCAAAGGGCTCCGGGATCAGAAAGTGGTCTTTTTCTCGGACAACATGGCGGTGGTGCATGCGGTGAATAATCAATCGGCTGCCTCTAAGCCGGTGGTTAGGTTGCTGCGGCGCTTTGTGTTGATGTGTATGTCACGGAATGTTGTGTTTTGCGCGCGTCATGTCCCTGGGTACCTGAATGAGGTGGCTGACGCTCTGTCTCGTTTTCAGTGGTCCCGATTTTGGTCGATGGCGCCAGGAGCATTGAAGGAAGGGGAGGCTTGCCCGGACGAGATATGGCAGCTGGGAGCGTCCTGCTTGGTGGACTTGTGAAGGCTTCACTGGCACCGGCCACATGGGCCTCCTACAGTAAGGTCTGGGACTCTTGGGAACGATCATTAGACGGGTTGGAGCATGGCTTACGTGGGGATGCGCTGCGGGACGCTTTTCTATGGTACACCTGCCAATTGCTGGCAAAGGGGCGTCCCCGGCAGTGGTCGACAGGTCCATGGCGGCAATGGCGTTCTGGTTCCGATGGCGCGGGTCGGAGGATCTGACTAAGACCTTCCTAGTACGGCAGGCGCTGAAGGGTTATCGAAAGGGCCGCAGGACCTGTGACTCTAGGCGCCCGGTGTCGGTACGGGTATTGGGGGATCTGGTGGGTAGGTTGCCGGAAATTTGTTTCAACGGGTTTGAGGTCTCTCTGTTCAGAGCGGCTTTTCTCTTGGCATTTTTCGGGGCGTTCCGCGTGGGGGAGCTGGTGAGTGCCAGTAGGGTGGTGCCCGGGGGTCTGCAGGCCTCAGGGGTTCGGGTTTTGGAGGGTAAGGTGGTTGTGCATCTGGGTAGTTCTAAGACGGACGTCCGTGGCGTGGGTAGGGACGTTACGCTATGGGCTCTGCCGGGCGCAGCATTGTGCCCGGTGGCTGCAGTGGCGGAGTACATGGCCCGGAGGCCGGCGGTGGGGGGTTCCTTCTTGATACATGCGGATGGTTCTTCCCTGTCCCGGTTTCAGTTTACAAAGGTTTTTCGGGCCGGGCTAGGTAAGTTGGGGCTTCCGGCCGGACGTTTTGGTACTCACTCCTTTCGCATTGGGGTGGCCACGGAGGCCGCACGGTTGGGATTAGGAGATGAGGTCGTGAAGCGCATAGGGAGATGGGAGTCGGTGCGGTTCCGCTCATATGTGCGGTTGGGCTTATTGGAATAGTTAAAAAAAAAAAAGGTACATGTCTGGGTATGTATATGTTTATATATATGTATATGTATAGATATGGTGCGGGGGCGGACATGGACGGAGGAGTCCTCTTTGCCTTTCCCTCATGCTTGTTTTCTTCTTCTCCCCAGGACGGGTTGCTTGGATTGTGGGACATTCTTTTGTCTTCTGGGCCGAGAGGAGGGCCGCAGCTCGAATGCAGGGCCAGCAGCTGGGCTTTCCGAAGGACCAGTTGACAGTCCGATGGTTTGGGTACAGGGGATTTTGCTGGGGGGAGGTTTGTGGGGCAATGTTTAGGTTGGTGGTGGGCGGGAGGACACCGGACATGGTGGTCCTTCATGCGGGGGGTAACGACTTGGGCCTCACGCCACAACGTCGGTTGGTAAAGTGGATGAAGCAGGACATCAACAAATTGAGGGACCTGCTTCCGGGGGTTATGTTAGTGTGGTCGGAGATTGTCCCAAGGCGTCGATGGCGGCACGCGCGGGATCCGGTGGCGATCGATCACTGCAGGAAAAAGGTGAACAGCTTAATGGCGAGCTTCGTTAGGAAGATGGGAGGTGTGGTGGTACGGCACAGCGAGTTGGAGGAGGGGTTGCCGGGGTACTACCGCTCGGACGGGGTTCACCTTTCAGAGGTGGGTTGGGATCTGCTCAACTTGGGTTGGCAGGTTGGTATGCAGCGGGCGCTGTTTCTTCGGGGTGGCGGAGCTCAGACGGCTTAAGGGGTCAAGGTCTGAGCTTATGGCGGGACGGGGAGCTGAAGGAGAGGAAATAGGCTCCCCAGGATGAACGTGATGGAAGACAAACAAGTGGTGGTCATTGGTGGTTGATAGGTTTCGAGTCCTGTCGGTGGCTCAGAACCTGGTGGGGTAGAGGTATCCGGGTATACCCCTGCCGTGGTTAATGGATGGTTGGCACTTTACATCGATTGGAATAATGTTGATGTATGTTATATATATATATGTTTATTTATATGGGGGTCATTGCCCTTTATATGTTAATGGAAGGAATAGGATGCGAGGGCGGAGTATGGGGGGCAATGACCCATGTTTACTTGTTAAGTTATTATTATGATTATTATTGTTATTATTATTATTTGCTAAATAAAGCTGTGGACATATTTCCCCATATCCTCTAGTATGTGCGTTATTGGGTTGGGTTATGGGGTGGTTGTCCTGGATTCCGACTGCCCAAAATGGCGACTATACACCTGTCATGTAGCCCCATGTAGCCAAACGCAGCTAAGCGGAAAAAGGCCTTGACAGGGGTTAGGAGGCGGGCCTAGGAGGAAGTAAGCAAGGGAGTGGAGTTATGGGTAAGTGGGTTTGGTTATTTAAATGGGCAGCCATTTTAGTTAATTCATTTTAACTTCCTACCTGGTTAAGTTTGTCCCACCCACCCTCCCTGTTTTGTTATGTGTGGTTTTGTCCCGTTTTTTCACAGCGGTGGGACGGGGAGCTGAAGGAGAGGAAATAGGCTCCCCAGGATGAACGTAATGGAAGACAAACAAGTGGTGGTCATTGGTGGTTGATAGGTTTCGAGTCCTGTCGGTGGCTCAGAACCTGGTGGGGTAGGGGTATCCGGGTATACCCCTGCTGTGGTTAATGGATGGTTGGCACTTTACATCGATTGGAATAATGTTGATGTATGTTATATATATATGTTTATTTATATGGGGGTCATTGCCCTTTATATGTTAATGGAAGGAATAGGATGCGAGGGCGGAGTATGGGGGGCAATGACCCATGTTTACTTGTTAAGTTATTATTATGATTATTATGGTTATTATTATTGTTTGCTAAATAAAGCTGTGGACATATTTCCCCATATCCTCTAGTATGTGCGTTATTGGGTTGGGTTATGGGGTGGTTGTCCTGGATTCCGACTGCCCAAAATGGCGACTATACACCTGTCATGTGATTGCTCTATATATTGACCACAAACCGTTTCAATTACTAAACTACGGTAAAGCCTATGTAGCTGCTAAATGTGTTGACAGTCACAAGTTTGAGCTGACATCTGACTGTAACTAATCTTAGTCAGAGGATCCATGTTACGTTTCGTAAATGCAGATTTTGCACTATGCAGGGGAAATAACTAATGTAAGTGTTTAATTATAGCTGCAACAAAGCTTGATCCAGCCACTGAGGGCACACTTAGCGCTGCAATGTAAACATTGCAGCACTAAGTGCAATAGGGTCACAGCACACAGACTACTTCAATTAGCTGTAGTGGTCTGGATACCTAGAGTGTCCCTTTAAACATCTGTCCCTTTCCAAGCCGCTATCCCAATTATGTAAAAGAGCCATATATATATAAATATATAAAGGGAATCAACACAGTAAAGGAGGAGACTATATTTAAAAGAAGAAAAACTACCACAACAAGAGGACATAGTCTTAAATTAGAGGGACAAAGGTTTAAAAATAATATCAGGAAGCATATTTCTACCGAGAGGGTAGTGGATGCATGAAATAGCCTTCCAGCTGAAGTGGTAGAGGTTAACACAGTAAAGGAGTTTAAGCATGCGTGGGATAGGCATAAGGCTATCCTAACTATAAGATAAGGCTAGGGACTAATGAAAGTATTTAGAAAATTGGGCAGACTAGATGTGCCGAATGGTTCTTATCTGCCGTCACATTCTATGTTTCTATGACACATTGTATAGATAATGCATTAATAATATACAAAATAATGGACTTAAAAAAGGTTACTCACATTACCAGTTGCTGCATCTGAAAGAATTTTACAGACTTCAACAAAACAGAAATCTTCACATTGACAAGATGTTTTCTCTAGCAAATATTCATTTGTGTTTTTTTGTTTGTTTTTATTTTGTTTCCCTAAGTAAATACTGTTTTGAGACTGTAATACAAGAAAATTCCAGGTGAAAGCCATTTCTGAGCTACAGCAACCACTACATTTGGCATTAGCAATCATATTGTGTTCAAGGTTGTACACGTCACTCATCATCTTTCTAATGTTTAAGCTACAACAAACCCTGTTTACCATGTCTGTACACTTTACGTATTGTGTTGTGTGCATATTATTTATTGGTTGCTATTTGCGTAAATCCACACCATAAAAAATGGACAATGAGGATACAACACATCTCTATCTATACATTTAATAATCAAATGTATAAATATTCATTGTACACTGTGTACACAAGCTCTCCGAAGTCTTTATCTAAAAAAAAAAAGATATTTTGTTTAATTAAATTTATTCTCCCCAGAATGAGCATCTTGATTCAGACGCAAACATATCACGGATGGCTGGTACATTTATTATTTAAATCAATATAGAAGATTCATGGCTAGAATACTCTAATCAAAATCATAATCAACAGAGGCCATGCAAGGTAGAATTCAGATACGTTGAGATACAGGCTAAAAACATGATCTCTTTTGAGTCTGTGTTTCATGTTAACATACACCAAAAGTGCAGTTGTTCCAATTCACCACTTGGTGGTGCTTCATACACAATTATAAGTTTGTGTCCTTTGTGCAATATGTCCATGGATCCGGGAAATACAGAATCCAGCACACTCACTCACTAACCACCAGCTTCTAAACTCACAAAATGTAATAGTTATTATTATTATTTTTTTTTAAACACCTGATTTAGGCAAAAATAATAGGGATTTAGTTACCATGTATGATCATACATTGCATTAGACTGCCACAACACCAATATACCCCATTTTTGTTAAAGATCCTACTTTAACAACCAAATTAAACCCACTTAGACATCTATTTAATATCGTTTGATTAAGCTTTCCGAATGACTAAAAGGGACACTATAGGCACCAAGACAACTTCATCTCACTGAAGTGGTCTGGGTGCAGGGACACTGTCACCTTAACCCTGCAATGTTAATTATTGCAATTTCTGAGAAACTGCAATAATTACTTTGCAGGGTTAAAACTGCCTTTAGTGGCTGTCAACCCTGCTTGCTAGGCAACTTTTGGTCGCCTGATGCTGGACCTCTTCATGCTTTGCATGAGTACATCCTGTTAGTAAGATCTACATAGGAAAGCAATGCAGCTTTCCTATGGGGAGGGCCTAGTGTGCTTTCCGCACATGCACATTAGCGCCACCTCCCCAAGTCTAACACGATGGGAGGGGGGGTTGGGGAGGGAGGGAGCAATGAGAAGAATAGGTCTAGGAATATAGATTTTGGGGGGTGTATTTAAATCTATCTTTTTAAATATTTATATTTAAATATATAACAATCATCACAATAATAATAATTATATATATATATATATATATATAATCAATAACCAATGATCTGGCACTCAGCCTAAATATCCACAAATAAATGATCCAACCAGGGTGCTGCACAGCGCTCCAATATAGAAAAATCAAAAATGAGAGATTTTAAATAAATCAGTTAGTGTATTAAATTTGCATTACAAAGAAAGTCAACGTTTCGACCTCTAACGGGTCTTTATCAAGATGCTGTATACAGTAAATTACAGTGTACATATAACCTATATAATTAAGAAAAATAACTTGCCAAGTGCTCGTGAATGTGACCACCCAGATCCGCTCACCGATCAGCCGATCAGGGCACCCGCAACATGCATAGTGAGAGATGCAGAGCGTCCCATTTTCATGGTGATAACTGTGCCGTGATCGTGCATGGAAAGGTGATATCATTCTAAAAAATCACGGGGGAAACCATAAAGAGCAATATATAAATAGAAACAATATATAACATAAAGCCTCAAGTCCTATTAAATTATACAGACCTAAGTAATCAAACTTAAAAACGTTCATCAAGGCATATGAATCTATCTATGGGGAAAAGATAACTGAAAGTGATGACATATCATGTGAGGAAAAAGGGCCAACGGCAAGAAAAGGCATACAAAGATAATAAAGAGGATAATAATAAAGAGAAGGTGTATACAGTGGGAGAGAGCACTAATCTGAATCTAAAAGAAATAAAACATACTAAAAAGAGTAGGTGTGAGTGAGAAAGAAGCAGAATGGAAAAATAGAGAAGAGGTTATAACAAAAGAGAGTGAGAGAGTAAAGTACACAAAAAATGTGTTAAACTAATATGAAAACTGCATACATCTCGTGTAGAGAAATGTGTGTGACATAAAAAAAAATAAGTACAAAGAAATCAATGCCACCTATGATTAATAAATATAAAGAAATTAGTACCACATATGGAAACATAATATAGCGCAGTAATAATTGATCAAGAACATGCTGACTATTCTGTGCTGCTGATAAATAACATAATCCCAAAAATATATATCTAAAGCTGTTCCACAAGCTACAACTAAACTAATTACAATATAAACAGATAATATTACTGTGGCGGAATATACTGCTTAGTTCGTGTGTTTCCCTTTTTGTCCATTTCGGGAGTTATATTATCAAAACACTCTGCATTCGACTCCCGAACGAGGACCACCCTGGTACCCCATTAGAACGTTTCTCACCTCAAAACTTAAGTGCGAAACTGCAATGAATGCCACTGGGTGGCCGCTAGTTCGTATAACAGAAGGCATGTGGTCGACAATGGAGTGGTGCTCATTTTGTCTCCCGAAAGTGGGCAGTGGCACTTGGTCATAAAGTGCCTGGAATTATTTTCGGCTAGTCACTAGTACGAACGCCGGTAAAGGTTATACCGCTGCCCGTTCTATTTTACGACCAACTATGACATTCGGGAGATGGGAACTACTGACTAGGGGAAGCATTCATACACCGAAACCAAGAGAATCCCTTGCATGGTTTTTGCACAGGAACACCTGAACAGAGACCAGCCGGAGCACCTATTTTTCTGGAACTATTTTGGACTACCCCCTTCGTGTCCAGCCAGTCAAAACTTTACCCCGGTGGCAATCCAATTTTACCAAACCGATCTGAGTGATATTTGGATATGTTATACACTCAGATTAGGTCTATCCAGGATATAACTTTTGTAGGATTCCTAGTTCCTAGTTATGATGAGGGTACTTTTGGGGGACTGTATATTTTGTATAGGGTTCTTTTTTGTACCTGAGAGATAATTGAATTAGAGGATTTTCTCACGCAATTATCTTTCTGGCACAAAG